GCTTCCTGCAGAGTCCCTGAGCTGCATGGAGCCCGGTGCTTCACTCCACAGCTGTAGGGAAGCAAACTAAATCTCCTCAGAGGAGTTTTAGTTTGCTGTGCCCCAAGTCATTTAAGGCGCTTTACACCACCAAATTTGCAACAGTGACTGGAATTACTGCACAGTGCGCTGCTGACACGTGCAAACACCAACATCACTGAATCAATGCAAAAGCATTTAACCCACTTTAAAGCATGATGCACACTTGCCCCTCATTTAATCTATACATAGCCTAAGAGGGAGAATCAGACATCTTGGAAAAATTAGGAATCCAGAACTAAAAGGGACATCTGAGGTTATGGAGTCCAGTCCCTTCCTATTATAGGCAACCATGTCACATAATCTTCCCATAAAATCATTTAGGCCCAGATTAAAACTAGTTTGTTTTAAGATTGCTCCAGAACCTCATTCTTTTGATGCTTAAACATCTTTGGGTGTCTACAAGTGCTCCTGCAGAGCTGCTTTAATTAAAATGCTGCAGCATCATGTGTATTTGTGTTCTGCATTTTAAAATGGCCATGGGAGCACTTTAACTAAAGCTCATTTAACAAGTTTTAATTAGTGTCCTTGCTACCATTTTGAAACACGGGACACTGAATATACATCATGCTGCAGCACACAGGAGTGTCTAATTGAAATGCTCCAGCAGACTCAGTTAATTGAGTCTGCTCTAAAACACACTAATTAGAAAACATCAGAGCATGTGTATAGGCACCCTTTGATAGTGTGCAAATATGACAAAATAGGGTTCCTTAAAACATTTCCAAAAGATAAAAAATATATCAAAGAAAAGGAAATGTCATATACTCTCCAGTATAAATTCCCTGGGGGCTAAAAAGCCACAATTAGAGCTGGCTGAGAATGTTTCAATTATTTATATTGTTTTGTTAGAAAATTCCAATCCAAGCAAGTGAATTGTTGGAGCATATATACCAGTTTGAACAACAAGATTTCTTCAATCCAGGATGAATTATTTGGTGAGAGAAAGACATCCCAGAATAGCCCAGCAATTAGCCCATGTGATGTGAGAGACCAAAATCCAAACAGAATTTAAATCTTGGCTTCCCACATCACTAGTAAAGGCCCTAATAACTAATCTTTTGACTATCCTTGTGTGGATTAGAGGGTCTCCTTGGCCCAGTGGATTCTTACCTGTTCCAAAAGGAAAACCTGAAAACACCCATCGTAGAATATCCTCATGGGTAGTGAAGCTGTTTCCACTTATTTAGTCCCGTGGAGCAAGTCCAGTCCCCACACATGGTCCTACAGTCAATCTCTCCCACCTTCACATATCACCTTAAACCCCTGCTGCCACCTTAATACACATAAACATAATGATGCTAAGCACTACCTATGCACAGAGACCACACACCATACTAGTAACATGGATTTGAGAAAACATGCAAGACATTCCACAAACACTTCAAAATACTGAGTTCATAACAAAGGGCATCATCTGAAACCTAATGAAAGTGAGAGAAAGAGTCTTACTGATGTAAATGGAACTTTTTTTGATATCCAAATGGATCTAGGCATTGTGTATACTTTTTAATGAGAGGGTTAATTTCCCATCACAGTGGGTGGTAGACTTAGTGAGTGCTGGCCTTTCATATAGGATGTTGTTTCATATGATTCACTATGCAGAACAGAGTGCACATCTGAATCATAATGCATACAGCAAGCACAATACTGTTCTGTATACATTTTTCTTAAATTGATTCATCTTCAACATAAATGGGACATTTATTACAGCATAAATAAATTATTAGGTGGAAATTATTTCCTAAGCATCTATGATAAACAATAACTTTAAATAATTTAATGAAAATGGCTTTCACCTCCTGCAAACATGAAGGGAATTTGAATCCACCAAAGCAAGAGCAGTGATTTGATATGGCAAGGAATTCGTCACTATCAAAACAATCACTTCCTCTCAATGTCAAGGAAAGGTCATTCTCTTGTGAAACGTAACATACAGAGATAGTAGAAACCTGCCAGATCATCTATTGTATACCCTTCCTAATGTAATACATCAAACAAACAGCACTGTGATATTCACCATTTTTTTCACCTCATCACTTTTTGGTGACTTTCTCCACCACATACAAGATGCACAGAACCCTTCACTTATGTATCATCACTTGATTCAGCATGTGCAGCTTATTCTCAGATCCACACAAGACTTGGGGACCAGATTTCCTACCAGTACCCTCATAACTGCAAGAAAATGTCATATGCACCTCTCTGCACCAGCATGGGCTCCGGCAACTAGCAGAAAGAGGAAGAGTATTTAGCTTTCTTGGAGAAAACAGCCTTAGTTTCCAATGAGGTCTTCATAAAAGATGCGTCTCAGTAGGCTGCAGAGGAAACACCTCAAACCACTAAAAAGGTCATGGTCATAGTTCCTCTATTACCAGGAGCACCCTCCTCCCCACTTTTTCATTTGAGGAAGCTGGTGATATGGCTGTTGGTGTGCCTTCCTTCACAGTATTTTTCCTGCAAGTGAAAACCTAGAAGCAAATCCAGTCCATATGCCCACATAACTAAGAGTCGCTAACTATGAGTCAGAGTTCTGCTATTACCTGCTAAATTTGTGCGAGTTTCTGGGAACATAAACTTGTGCTGAAATTGATTAAATTATTTAATGCAGTGACTAGATCACTGCACATGAGATGTCTCTGACTGTTGTTCTTCTTACCCCTCACAGTATACTGTGTGATACGGTATGACAAAATCCTTAGCTGTTGTATCAGAAAACAGTACGATTGCTGGGATTTTTCTGAATGAATCACAAGCTTGGAAATGGATCATTTGTGTGGATCACATCTCAGAACAGGAGATCAGCAGCAATTAGAACACCAAATTGCTTCTACTTTAATGATATTATATAGTGTTATATACTTCTTCATTTAACTGCTCTACTAAAGTGGACTGAAAGGGGAAAAATACAGGGTTTTAGAAAATATAAAACTATTACAAAGTAGGGCTGTGTAAAGCTTCAGTCACTGATTCAATTCAGAGGAGATTAGGCCCGATTTGGCAGCTGAATCTCTGAATCCAAATTGAATCAGAAGACCCATTAAACTCTCTGAATGGAATTGGAAGCCTCCGATTCATTTCAGAGATTCAGAGAGATTCGATGATTTGGATGTAGACACAGTTTTATATGTTTTTTTCTACATACCTCGAGGTACCAGACAGTTTGTGAACACTGAGATGGTGGGGCAGATAGAGCATCTCACAGGAGCACAGGGAGTCCCCAACGCGCTCGGTGGTGAACCCAGAAGTGGATCAGAAGCACTTCCAGTCCACTCCCGGGTCTACTGCAGAGCGCGCAGGGGACCCCCTGCCCTCCCGGCTTGGCAACTGGTGCCTCCTGGGTCTGGGGGGGCACCCAGGATCCCCCCCATGGCCGATCGCTGAGCCAGAGGAGCATGGGGGGGAGGGGGAGAAGTCCTCTGCATGCTCAGCGGTGGACCTGGAAGTGGACCAGAAGTACTTCCGGTCCATTCCCGGATCCGCAGCAAGCATGCAGCACCACCCCCACCCCCACCCCAGCTGCGCTCCAGTAGGATGCTGCATCCACCCCACCATCTCAGCGTTCACGAGTCATGCCTGGTACCTCAAGATATGTAGAAAAAACATTTAAAGCTGTGTCTATAGTCGAATTGCTGGTTCTCTGAATCAGAATTGAATCTTCAGATTTGGATTTGGCCTAATCAAATCGGGACAGTAATCTGAATCAGCTAATCGAATCACTGTCCCCCAAATCAGGTTGAATCCAAATCTAAATCAAATACAGCCTGCTTTGCACACCCCTCCTGTAAAAATTGGCTTTGTAGAGTAAGAACAAAATTAAGCTCTTTTAAAAGAATCTAAATGGATGTCAGAGACTTATTTCTGAAAAAAAACAGGAGAAAAAGAGAAGGCAAAGAATCACCTCAAAGTCAGTGGAGACAGAAGTACAGAAGTGGGAGCTATCTAAGGAATCTAACCTGGGGTGAATATGTTAATTTATCCTCAAAAGGTCCTTATAGAGGAGCATATTATCATAGCTCATTTTATAAACAAGATTATATTATATTCTCATTTTATAAATAAATTTAAAGTAGCTTGCCCCAGGTCATAAAGGAACACTAGGGAATATTTGGCAACTGAACTCAAGATCCAGTGGGTCTGATCCAGAAGTCACCCTTCTCTTGCTTTGCTTTCTAGAGTACCTCTTACATACTAAACTAATTGCTCTGTTTACTGGTTTAAAATAAGTCAGTACAAGTCCCATATTTCAGAAAGCTTAGCCTAGTCAACCATATTTGCTTTACACATTGCTATTCTGTTTGGCTGAAAGGACTTCAGAAATAGTGTTAAAAAATCCCAATCATGCATTTGTTAAATCTGTCTCACAGGCCTCAGAGATAGGGGGTCTTTTATGCCAGTGAATAACCTTAACCATAACAGAACCGCAAGGCTGTATATTAATGGTCCTAACATAGCTGTGGAGTATTTTATTTTCCCCTCCTCCCTCATCTTGGTGTGAGATGCTGTATAATCATATCACAGTCTGGGCTGGATATAAAACAGTCATTAATATGTCATGGTGAAACATGATATAGGTATCTTGTGCATCATATAAGATCCGTTTTACTGTACTTTGCTGTTCATTAAAAAAGGGGAGTTAAAAGAAGGGAAAGGCCTACCTATTATTCAGCTGTTAGTACATACCTATTTTGTTCTGTTGGCATAGCAAAGGAAGTCCTGAACCAATACTTAACCAAGCGCATCAGATCCTTCACCTGCACAGTGGATTCCTTGATAAACTCAACCTGGTATGGCAGCAGAGACATCGTGTACAGCTGGATTTTGTCAGCATCGTGGCAGAGATAGAGCTTGTGGTAAAAGCTCCATTTTAAACCTGTAAACCCCAAAAGATACAGAATGCCACAATTATTCTTTCTTCCCTACTATTTTGTTTCATCAGATTTAACAGTGAAGCTGAAAAATCTACTATGAAGTCCTTTCATATATCATACAAGCCAATAACATTAACAGAGCTCTCCTATATCCAAATTAAATTAAATTTACTTCAAGTCAGATAAAAACACATTAAACCCAGAAACATTATTTAAAAAATATTATGTGTAACCAATCTAATCTCTTATGTATGAGGATTATGCTAAATCTGCTTTGTTCACCTTAACATATTGCAAAACTGCTCAATATATGGCCTTTGATTGACAGCAATTATGTACCTGCACATATGGAGTTAAAATAATACTTTCTACTGAGTTATAATCTGATTTTTCTGTCATTTTAAATCATTGCATAACCTGTCTACAAAACAGAAAATCATAAATGTACCTTTTTTTTTTTTTTCCTACCAGCTTAAGCCAAAATCTTTCAATACATGCATGAGTGGCCAAATGAATGCCTGGTGCATACATCATTTGTCTGACTTTGTATGGCTAACGTTTATGCAGTCAGCTGTAGAACTATCTACTTGTCTGCATAAGAACCTGATTTATATATGTGACAGCCATCACTGTGAGGAATTACTCCCTGCATCATAATCAAACCTTTTGCACTAAGTCAAGATTAATGGTTTTCACACATGGAAGTTGTCAAAAAGAGATGTCACATATAGAACGGTATGAAATTAGTATAGTATGGTATTGCATAGTACGTCACATACAGTATGGTATGACACCAGTTAAAAGAAATCTCATAAACTTGCAGCTAAGTACACCATATACAAGAGGATGTTTAAGCGTGGCAATACCTCTGCCCCATGTGAGTGTGTTTTCTGGGGCTGGACAGGTGCATCATATCATATCATATCATATCATATAAATATGGAATCAAAAAGCTTCACTATAATTAGTATGTGACAAGGCAAAAGGATTATGTCCCTCAAAACCAAATACTGTAGCTGTCAAGACTGAAGTAGTCCTACAACATGACTTTGCTGGGTAAAGGTTGAATGTATTCAAACGTATGAGGAGCATAACTGGTTGTAGGTAATCACACCAGAAAAGAAAGTTCCTTACTAAAGGAAAACATTGAACACTTACTTGTCGATGGCGCAGGCCCCAGCATTTCATAACAGGGCATGATATCAAATGAGTGACTGTGGAGATTCTTACAGCACTTGAAATTAAATCGTAAGGAGAACTGGGTCCTTTTCTTCATCGTTATCCTAACATAAGCATTTTTAATAAAACATTACTTAACCATAATATGGAGGGGCGGTAGCATGTAAGGGTTCAGCTATACAGAATTGTGCATGTAGACAAATGACTGGAAAGTCTCTCTTAATGCACATGGAAAAAAAAAAAAAAAAAAAAAACACATACATCCAAAAGAAAGGAGAAAGTTGAAAAGGAGAAAAGGCAAAATATTTGAGTGAATGAGTAAAGAGAAAGAGACTGAAACAAGGGAAAAAATGTTGGGTGGAGAAAGAAGAAATGAAGTATAAAAAAAATCAAGTAAATGAATGTGCATTTATATAAACACAATACATGAAAGAAGATTATGGAATACAATATATGCCCAACAGGAAGAATCAAAGCAATATGATGACGATATGAAAGCAGAAAAATAGTAACAAAAATAAAACCACACTATATTTAGTAAATGTCTTGGAAAATGTGAGAAAAAAAAAAGAGAGAGACAGACAAACAAACAGTTAACCTGAGCCAAGTGTTATTATTTCCAAAACAAAGTCTACAGAATTTCTGTTCCTCATGATTTTTTTTTCCTAATTGGAATGAAACCGTTTCTCTGAACACAGAAAAGTCCCAAGAAGCAGTAATTCCAAGTTTGGAGGAGATCTATCTGCAATTTCACAATCTGTTACTCAAAAGGAATATTTTAGTAGTTTCCAGAATGGAACAGGGTTAAATAAAGATTAAATGTGAACCAAGCTGGCCAAGAAAAACAGGACCCTTTAAAATGTTTTATTTCGAATTAGGCTGGATTGCCATTGAGGAGAAATTCATGATGAGGCACCCTTTGGTTTTCATGCTTTACTTCCAGAAACTCAGAGTCTAGAGATCGTATTTCCACAACACAGTCTTTCCTAGCTAGGAGACACAAGATTCCCCTTAAGCCTTCAGGAGTTGTCCTTATGGATCACCAGGGATCACAATAAGGCAAAAGCTAAAAAAAAAAAGATACTTGGGTATTTGTTTCTACCTTGAATAGAGCTTACTTAGCCCATTAGTAGTCAATAAAGTGGGGGGAAGGGCAATACTTCCCAGTATTGAAAAGCCATCTGCATTGAGTCCAGTTCAGCTGTCTACCATCACACTACAAAAGTAAGAGAGTGGGGGATGCAGGTGGGAGAAAAGGGTAATCATTGTGGTTCTGACAAGATACCATTTAAGTCTTTAATGGGGATTTTAACTATGGCTTTATTGGAAAGCACAGCATCATCCTGTGCCAGTTTTCTATTTTGGCTGTTATGTTGCAATTTTACTGCGGTGGAGTAGGCAGACTTGTAAAGCTCATCCTGAGATGGCAGTGTGACATCCAGCATAAGAAAAATTCCTGATACAGAGACTATATCCAACCATTTGGATTCAAACCTGCTGGCCCATGAAGACTTCTTCAGTCTTTTTCCTAAATCATCTATAACTTCTGGCAATTTCTTTTTGCAGTCGTCCAGATTTTCAAAGGCTTCACTAAACAGCACTATATCAACTTCTGACCAGACTTGAGTATCCGTTCCTTTTATATACAAGCCTCCCTGTAATATAAGAGATTGCCAGAAAGATGACTAATACTTTCCCCTCTTGGCAAAACATTTCCCTTTTGCTGGCTAACCAGGCTTTGGATGACCTTTAACTTCTCTTGCCCAGCTACATGAAAGCAGTTTATTGCCTCATGTTACAAAAATGCAATAGAATTTGCGCCCCATACAGAGGTCTTTCTAAATGGTTTTGGGTTATTAACAGAGTTTAAAGCATCATTGTCTGTTTCTACCTTAGGGATAGAGGGATTGGGTTCAATCCCTACATCGCAAGACCACATCATGGTTTGCTGGGTGAAGTTTTGAATATGGTGTGGCCTTATTTATAGTCTCCACTTATGCTGAGCTGCCTTTAAGAGTAGGAAGAGACAGCCAGAGCCTTGATGAAATTGGGTATCAAATATATTTAATTTTCTAACAGAGGTGCTTCTTAGTCACTCTATTCAACTTACTACCCAACAAAATTGCATCCTGTATTATATGACAAATAACTTCTCCTGTTTTTATCAAATATATTTTAAAGGAGACATGTCTATCCATGAAGACATAGATTTATGCTTGAGATGTATTCCCCACTACAAACCCTGCAGTGAAGCTTAAGATGCCCAACTAAGCAAACCTTAACTCATGGCAATGACCTTGTCCTTGTGCATTTGGTACCAAATGAGCATTTTTATAACAGTAGATTGGCCCTTCTGCCACTAAAAGTTGTCTATAATTCGTAGACAAACTAAGTCCATTTCTTCATAGGCAGATGCCTGTGTCAAAAATCACCACTAATGCTAGAAGAGAAGCTTTGGGTGGAACAGGCATGGAGGCTGTATGTCCTCTACCCTGCCCTGCCAGAAATGGCCTCTGCATACCAGAACAGAGGCAGGTTGGGCTGAGGAAGTTGGTACAGGTTCTGTCTGTGCTATACCAGTCCTGCAGGGATATAATGGGCTTCAGTCTCGATGGAAGTCATTTCAGCAGTTTTCAGAATATTAAATGGGCCAGTAAGGTGCTTTATATAAAATGGTATGAAAACAAATGTGTCCAATTAAACAGATGTTCTAAAAGAGCCACTGCAATTATCAGGGAGAAGGCATAACATGCCAAATGCACTTCAGAGACAAGAAACTTATGGATTCTGTCTTTCAGTACTAGTCTTCTAAAAAAAGATCAAACCCTAGCAAAATGCAGAACATTCAAATACGGCTCAGGGTTAGTCGTTAAATCTAAGCCACGAGGAAGTTCAGCATTTATAAACTCTCTCTCACTGGACTCTGCCAATGCAAGATGAGCTTATGAGACATTTATATAGGTTGCAATGGAACAAGAGAAGAAACTACTATTATTTCTTCTCTTAGGACTCTTATAGATGCACAGCGAGGCTACTCCAACATGCTGTAAATCGATTAATCGTGTCTGCTGGAGAGCAGAAATTAACTTGCTCCAGCAGACTCCAGCGTCACCTTATTAGCATCCCCGCACTGAAAAATAGTGGTAAGGTGCTTTAAACTGAAGCTCATTCAATGAGCTTTAGTTCAAAGCACCCGTCGCCATTTTTCAGTGTGAAGACACTGATACATGTGAAGCTTGGGCATGTTAACTAGCGCAGATGACTACTTAAAGCGCCCCCCCCCGATCACATCTATAAACACTCTTAGAGCCCAAAAATGGTTACCTTGATTAGACGAGTTACTGGTAATGGGAAGTATTCCTTGATCACACTAATAATTGCCTCTATTTCTACAGCACAGACAATGCTCACAGGGCCTGAGATAGGTCGAAGCTTTTCTTGCACAAATGCTTGTAGTTCTTGTGGGGTTCTATACTCCAAGATGTTCCCAGGTGGAAACCCAGTGGACATTTGAGCTGAAGAGAAAAAAAATTCAAGTTTGATCATTAATATTTACTAGAAATAATCTCTCATTTCTTGGTCTCTCATATCACTTTTCCAAATTAAGTTGAATTTATCTCCTGTGGGGAGATGCTAAGAAAGTCTCCTGTACAATCTTGCATATTCTTTAGCTGGCCTATTCATGGCAACACATGATCAATTACACATTGATCAGATTTATAAAGTTTCAGTTTTTAATCACATGCTTGTGCAGTAAATCAGGTTTTTATTTATTACTGATTCATCTTACTGCTTCTGATTTAAGGGGGTTAAGCATTTTGATTTGGCCAGACCTAGGGGGCATTTACTTTCCAATGCAGCCTTTGAATTGTTTAGTTACTTCGTAAAGTAGGCTGGGAGACAAGAAGATGGCCTGCTGAACACAGCACACTTCTTGAATGTTTTGCTTATTTGCACAAGTGTGTTCAGACACTGGAAATCCTTGCACTCGATGTTTTCTCCCTCAAAGATGCTTAGGAACCCATTTGCACAGGATAAAATGGAAGAACCTGATACATATATTACAGTGGTTCCCAACCTTTTTTTGCCGTGACCCACTGCTGGAAGAGGAGTGCAGTAGTGGCAGTGGTGGCAGCCCGGGGGCAGGGGTGAGGGAGCTCCCAGCACACAGCATGAGTTGTCTTTTGTGTGTGGCGCCACTGGCATTGCCCCCATGACCTTCATTTGGGTCGCAACCTAAGGTTGGGAACCGCTGACATATTATGAGCCTGCATACACATATAGCTATTCTATAAGCTTGAGGTAAAAAAAAAAAAAGAGATCAA